TCCTGCAGTAAAAATTTCAAAACACCCACAAGACGCACTCTTCGAGACTATGTTTTACCAGAGCGCAAAACAAAAGCTTGAAGATCTCCAGCATACACATCCCTGCCTACGGTTCCACCCCTACCTGGTGTATTCAGTTCTGAATAGGCTACATGCCTTCTTCCTCCCAGCAAGAGTTTTTCTTTCTGCTGCCTCTCAGCTATGGCATTGGGTCGAGTCCCAAGAGTCCCTTTCTCCTCAGGCATCCTCACCTCTCTGCTGGTACTTGTTTTTCTCTCATTCCCTGACACTGCTGGGACACCAGAACTTTATCCAAACTAAACAGGAGCAGCTGCTCTCAGGGGAAGACTAATCTTCTCTCCAGGTCCACTCAGGCCCAGAGAGCAGCAACCAGAATAAAAGCCTTCTTTTCTGCAAGACCTAAGGAAAAAACCGCTGTAGTCCTCCTCTTTTAGAGTTGGTCGATTTTCTCTTCTTGTTCAGGAACAAATAAATGACCATGTTCTCTATGATCTTACTGGTTAAGCCATCACTACCTAACAGCATACAACCCCAAAGTTTCCCATTACATAAAGTCTTTCTAAATTCTTTATTTCTGAGTGCTCCTTGACAAAAGATAACAACTGTACTTCTCATCATGAGGTATACTATGGCTTTTCTTATGGCTTCTGACAGTAAGACATTCTGTACCTTTAGTAAAAAAGAAAAGGCAAACCCTGCTAAAGAAATCATAAATCATTTCATCCATCTGCAAACAAGGAAAAACACTAAGTAAATTTTACAGAATCCTGTCAGTCTTAGGCTTTGTTTTTCCTATTTTTCCTTTTAACATTATTTTTATCACTTTAAAAATATTTCCTATTAAAGCTAGATTTAAAATGCTCTTTTTTTATTATCCCACACATTTATTTGATTTTGGCTGAATTTCCACCAAGGCTGACATGTATGGTTTAGTTCAAAATATTAGATACTTGTCCTGGGTTGCAGTGTATTCTATTACCATCCTCATGAGCTGTGGAAATCAGGTGGGGCACTGTTTCCTTGTTGTTCCCCCCCCCCCCCCCCCCCCCCTGTGATGTCTGCGGGTGGGAGTGTTATAT